TGGCAAGCGAGTGGCTTACTGTTTCGAAGCGGCAGCTCAGAGAAGTGCTGACAAAAGCACTTGTCCCATGAAGGTGAGTTCCTCCTGCATCCTCGTGGGCGTGGTTTGATTCTGCTGCTGTTCCAAAGGGAATGACTGACTCGTTCAGGTCACCGCAGATTTGCAAATGTGGGAGTTATCCACCCCAAATCTGTCTGTATGGCGTTGGCATTCCTTTCACTGCTTACTGTTGTGGCCTGCTGCGCCTTCCTGCTTTTCTCTGTCAGCAATCGCTTGAGGTTCAGGAAGATTGTTTGTGTAAGCAGGTTTTATCGCTTCAGACTTGATCGTGACTGTGAGGAGACCAGATCTGTAACAGTGAAGCTTGCTGGTCTTGGCCCATTTTGCATCTGTGGTACAGTTGTCCACCTGGTTTTAAAGCAACCTCTTTTAAATACAAGTTTGAGAGCTGTGGTATTCTTGTTCATTAAAACAGCCTTTGCATATAGTTCTCAGTGGACTTTCTTTAATGTATTTCACTCTCTCCTTCCTGCGGAGCTGAGATGTGACAGACAGGCAGTTGTATTTGGCCTGCTGTCCTCCTCTAACAGCAAAGCTCTTCAGCTTTGCACCCCAGGATCTTGCTAGGTCTGCCTTTCAGGCTCTGCGTACACACAGAATGAACACTTGTCTTTACTTTGCAGGATGGAAATCCGTTTGGTCCCTTCTGGGATCAGTTCCAAGTGAATTTTGATAAGTCTGAGCTGTTCAAGGGAATTTCCTTCAGTTCTGCATACAAGGACCATTGGATCCAAAGGTAACGAGAAGATGGAAAAGTGCTGGCATGGTGCTGTAGGCATTTAGAGTAACTTGTGAAAACGGTTGTGCTAGCCACTGTGTAAAGCCTTTGCATTTTTGGGGGAGAGATTGAAGTGGTTAGTAACATAATTAAAAATCTTAATGCTTTTTTCCATTAAATATTCACTGAGGGCACTTCCTGTGGGCAGTATTAGGTGATTGATTTCTGAGCCAGTAATGTTTAGTTACAGTATTGTTTACATATGTAATTATTCTTCAAAAAGAATTTGCTTCTCAGTTGCTGATTGTGAACTGTATTTTGCTGGTTACCTCGTGTTTTCAGACCCACTTCAGTTGTATCAGTAAATTTGGGTGACGGAATTGCTCTAGTCTGGAGTGAAAATGTAAGCTGTCTTTGCTTGGTAGCTCATTGCTGGGTGTATGAGATTCTTATCTTTTGTCTGTCAAATAGTACTAATTCATTTGTTGCTGGGTCTGATGTAACACACAGTACCTGAGTTTTGCTTCCGTGTTCTGTTCACTGGCAAAATGCTTAGGATTTGTCTTGGGTAAATTTGGAGCAATAGATTCTGTGGATGTCAGGGTATTCATAGTTTCCATTCTAATCTTCACAAAATTCACGCGCAGCAGTCTTTGTGCAAGATGATGCACGTGAGGTTATGTCACGTTTCGGTCTGCTGTGTTTTTTTCTGTAGATTTTCACCGTCTGAGCACCCTGTACTTGCCTTACCTGGAGCTCCAGCCCAGTTTCCAGTCTTAGAGGAGCACCGACCTCTCCATAAGTATATCGTGTGGTCTGATGAAATGGTGAAGAAAGGAGAAGCCTATATTCATTCTTTGCTGGTCAGGCCCTACATAGGAATTCATCTGAGGATCGGCTCGGATTGGGTACAGTTCCTGTGTGAGGCTGGTTGCTGTAGCCCGAGTGGTTGCTGTGGATTGGTGGTTAACTGGTGAAAAAGCTGCCCAAAGAGGAGCTGTGCTTCTGGGGTGGCAGCCCGAACCCTGCTGGCATTTGGTAACTCAGGGTGTGTTAGCAATGCTGTTGGGATTCCTCTTTCAAACAGGCTGTAATGCTGCTGGCAGAGGTGGAGGGATGTGGTAGTGTTTTCTCATGTTTGCCATTTAAACATGATATTTTTCTCTTTTCTTCTTCTGATAGAAAAATGCTTGCAATATGTTAAAGGACGGGACGGCTGGGCCGCACTTCATGGCTTCACCTCAGTGCGTGGGCTACGACCGAAGCGCTGCGGTCCCTCTTACCATGGACATGTGCCTGCCAGACCTCAAAGAGATCAAGCGTGCTCTCAAGCTCTGGGTGAAAAAAACAGAAGCTAAATCCATTTACGTCGCTACTGATTCTGAGCCCTACACAACAGAAATACAGCAGTTCTTCCAAGGAAAGGTCAGTCTTTCAGAAACCCATTCTGGCAGGAGCACTTGAATAAAAACCTTCCTTGGATTCTGGCCCACTGCTGCCATGGACAGCAGGCGATATGTTATTCATGGACAAATATTGGCATCTCAAAGTAAATTTTGTTCATAGCAATAAAAATTATACTGTAAAACTCTTCCTAGAGGTTAAAGATCATTGTCCTACACGGTAGTAAATTTCTTCTTGAAAAAGGAGTGATTTTCAAAAATGTTTTGACATTTTTCTATTCATAAATGAGTTATAGGGCAACTTAAGACAGAATCCACCCACTCTTTTTGTTGTATATTCCCATTTCTAATATGATGCCAAGGCATTTGGATTATAATAACAGATGACTGGATTCGTTTGCTTTCCTTGTTTCCCTGCAGATCAAGGTTGTAAGCTTGCAGCCAGAAGTGCCTCAGATTGATTTGTACATTCTCGGCCAGTCTGATCATTTTATTGGGAACTGTGTCTCTTCGTTTACTGCCTTTGTGAAAAGAGAGCGTGATGTGCATGGAAAACCCTCTTCATTTTTTGGCATGGACCACCCACCAAGATTACGGGATGAATTCTGACCAAACGAGGAACAGGCTCCGTAGTTCTCAGGGCTCTGAGCTCGGTACTTGCCAAGGGACTGCTCGGTGCTAGCAGTGTTCTGCCTGCCTGCAGTGCACGCCGCCAGGTTGCCGCAGACCTGCTTCAGCCCTGTGATATTCCTCACAGTTGCTTCTAGACTGTTCTGTCTGACTTCTTTTTTTATTTCCAGTGTGAGGTCAGACAGAAAAGAAATTTTAAATCATGTAGTTCGTAGGAAACTATATATATAGTTTTTAAGATGTAGTTTATATAGTTCTCCATTGTCAATATTTGGAGTTTGCCAGCAATCGTGATGAGGCAGCTGCTCAGATTTCCTCTTCTCCATTTTTTTTTTTCCGTTAAATTTTACCTGGAGATGTTGTGAAACTTCTTGTCCAAAACTGACCATAAGTTCTTTTTAAGTCCAAAGTATTGTGAGGAATATCACATTCCCTGAAAAAGAGTGCAAGATAAAGCTCAGGACTGGAAATTGGCTCTGGGTTTTATCGAGTACCGCTGTTGCCTTACTAGACCTGTGTCACCTCAGTGCCTTGGTTTCCATTCCCATGTCCAAGGAGATTTTGTACCCACTTCACAGCGGAGCTGTGGGCACCTGAATCTCTTCAGTGGTGCTAGAGAAGTGTAGCGGGGGCATGTTTTAATGTGGCAGCTGCCTGTTCAGCCCGTCTTTGTATAGAACTGGGGAGAAGGTGTCTGCAGGGATGCGGCCAGGAGATCTGTGATCGCTGGTGGAGATTTGGGACTTGGAGCTTTGTAGCTGTTGATGTCAGGCAGAGGTCTGTGGTGGGAATGAAATGGGTTTTAAGATAAGACTTTTAAAGTAGCTGTAGTGGGGTTGATGTATGTCGTACCTAGGTCTGTGTTAATGGTTTCTGGTTTTTGTATGGTTTTGTACTTTGTAAAACAACCCCTCTGAGAGCAGAACTCTTGGCTGTGGGGGTAGCTCCCAGTGGAGATAACTGTGGAAAGCGTTAGCTGGCAGTGAAACGGCAGCAAAAAAACCCTTAGTTTGGCCTGGTATGTTTAGTGCTGGGAACAAAGATAATCCTGATGCAGTGAGTCTCAACATGACCAGTGCCTATTGGGACTCCTGTGACTTTAATATTTTTTTTTTTTTTGTCCAAAGATTGAGTAGAGAACTTGCTGTTCCTTTTTTAAAAATGTCACTTAGGTGAAGCTGTGGTACCAGATCTGGCTGCCTCTAGTGCACTGCTACAGTCTGAATGATGCTGAGCATTGACTGGGGTTTGACTCTAAATATCTTTCGGTGATGGGTTTTTTGTCCTCCTTGGAAATGTTCCTGAGCTTTGAAGGAGTCTGAAGGCTCAAGAGAGTGATGGCAAAGACTCATCTCCTTTTCTTGGTGCTGACTTCCAGAAATTCGTGGGATTTGGTGGTTTTAGGGCCTCTGACTGTGTCCCGGCGGAGCTGGGCGGCTGGATGCCTGCATGCTCCTCAGTATTTCACTCAGCTTAGTGATCATGGATGATGCCGTCAGGGCTGCCTCACCTCATTACAGAGCGAGGGCAGCCTTTCCGCGTGGTATTGGGAGACAGTGTATTAAGAGAAAATGTGGTTTGTTGTTTTTTTTTCTTTTTTAAAGGGTATTTTTTGTAATAATAAAAACCTGATTTTGTATTCACTTGTATTGCACCGAAATTCCTTCCTCTATCGCTGCATTCTCTGTTCAGGGTCCTGTGAAGTGCCACCTTCCCCTGCTGGGGCAAAAAATGCGACTTTTGGGGTTCTGGGGGCGCAAGGTGCACCCGGGCCTGGCCCGGCGCTGCTCGTGAGGCGCCCGGTG